GAGCCCAGCTCGTCCCCGCCTCGTCTCGCGAGACTGTTCCGGTCCCGCCCACGCCACGGATCTCGCGAGATCGGGGGGGGGGGCTGGGAAAAGGGGAAAGGCCTTCAGTGGTTCCCTAGGCAACCGCTTCTTGCCGGCACGCAAACTGCGTCTGGGTCGTAACTCGCTCGGGATTGCGAGCTGCAGGTGGCCGAGTCGGTTCTTAAGAGGTGAAAGAGGACGGGGTTTAGGCTTGAAGAACTTTAGGGGAGTAATTTTTTCAGGGTGTGCAGAGAGGGTCCTCCCAGCCAAGCCCACCACCCTCCAGCCCGGGAGGCGGAAGAGGGATTCTGAGCTTTGGAGACTAAAGCGGGCGAGGTGAGGTCCTGACAGTCTCGGGAGTGGGATGCTGACCCCTTGGATCATCTGTGCACTCAGGGGCGCCCACCCGCCACTGCTTTCATCCCTCGGATGCGCAGACCCCGTCGACTTTACAGTACTGACGTTGAGCACTGAATAATTAGCACGGGGCTCATTCTGTATAACGGGGCTCTACAGGGTTTATATGGGACACCAGGCTTGGGGTACAGGCACACACACCCCTGGGACATTGCAGCTTAGTCCTAGACCACCACTGCAGTAACGTGAACATTTGGCAGTGAAATGTTGATGTGTGCCATCCAGTTGGAACTGACCCTCCAGCGGGTTTTCAGAGGCAGTAAATAACACAAAAGGAGATTGTCCGTCCTTCTCCCGTAGAGCAGGTGATGGGTTCGAACCGTGTGCCTTCAGTATTGCAGCGCAGCATCTTACCACTTGGTTTGTTAGATGCTGTGGATTACGACTCAGAGCGACCCTGTGAACAAAAGGTCCGAACCCTGTTCTAGCCGGTGCCACCAGAGCTGCAAGGAAATGAGTCGTACAAATTTTTTTTTTTAGTTCATATAATCTTATGTTTACACCGTTCGCTATTTAGGAATATTATTTAGCGTAGTGGGATAAGTGTTGGCCTGCTAACCTTCACCCTAGAAAACATACGGCAACTAATTGATTCCAGGGCAGTGAGGGAGTTGAGTAGTCTGTCATGAAGTGTACATTAGCGCTAGGAAACAGTTTTGAAATACTGTTAGAATTGGAAAAATGTAAACAGACATTCGGATGGCGGGGAAGAAGAACAAACTGGGGAGGAGGGTAGAGAGAATGGTGCAGCAATGAAGGAATGAAAACCCAAAATCCCTGTAAATGTTCATTAAAACTAATAAAATTTAATAATTAAAAAAGAATTGGCAAAATGTGACACAGAGATGCAAAGCAAGTGTATGTTATTGGAAAAGTAACAACTACAGATTTGCTTGAGGCGAGGCTGTTACAGACCTGCTATTTGTAAAAATGGGGGGGAAACCACGCTCTCTGGCAAATACAATAAGAGGATGGACATGAATGGAACACAATGTATATGCATGGGGCAGAATGTATATTAATGATTGTGTTTATATAAAAAAAAAGACAAAATTGTAAAAAACAAAAAATAAAAAAGAGAGAAGAGTATGTCTGTGTAGGGATCAGTCATCCAGTCTGTAGCTCCCCACGTCATCCCAGTGGAGAGATTATGTCTGGGATGATGTAGATTTGTTCTGAGTTCACCCAAACAAAAGGCAAAGATCCTGTTCCGACATAAAAGGAGTTTGTCATTTAAGTTTATAAATTAAATGGTAAGCTTCATATTCTGCCTTCTGTTTTCTGAGCATTTGTGTCTACAATGGTCTTTGCCCATAAGAATCTCAGAGTCAAGTGGGGTAGATAGAAGTAGCACAGGTTGATGTCTTAGTAGAAGATAGGCAGAACCAGTGGGGAATCAGCGACGTCAGCCGGCCTGGCAACAGCGGTTGGGGAAGCAGGACTGAAAACCTCGTTTAGCACAAGCACTAAAAGACCTATCAGTAAAACAGAGCGCTTCCACTTGTCTGTTGAGCCACTACTGTGTGCCAGCCCAGGGATGGAACTAAGTATTCATGTAAGAACAAGATCCACACGTTTTCTGTCTTCAAGGAGCTCAGAGGCTAATGAGGGAGAGACAGAATGGCATAGCAAGGGCAATAATTAGAGAGTTAGGAGGTGCATCTCCGTGAGAAAGGGCCTCAAAGAGGGTAGACTATCTTAGCTGAGACATGTGGAAGAACAGGAGATGCGTAGGAAGACTAGGAGACACGTAGATAGACGGGGACTCTCCAGCTCCAGAGGAGAAGTGATTCCTTGTCAAGGATTCCTTGTTCATTCCCTTGACAAGGAATCAAAGAGGAGTTCTTGAAGGAAGGGCAGTACAGTAGCTGCATCTTAAGGAGAAGTGTTTAGATTAGTGAAAAGATGAGGAAACAGTCCAAGGGAAAACCTGGAGGGAAGAAGCCTAGGCTTGAATTCAGGGACGATGCAACAGAGTGGAGGAACATGAGGACAAGCAGCATCCATCTCATCACTGAGTGTGGTCTTTCTTGCCACTTAAATTGTTGGGAGGTCGGTCCCTGGAAAAGGATATCATGCTTAGACAAGTGGAAGGTCAGGGAAGGAGAGACCGGCCCTCAATGACTTTGATTGGCACAGTGACAGCAACAGCGGCCTTAAGCTCAGCAGAGACTGAGGAGGCCATAGGAGCCACCCGGGCTTCATTCTGTTTATAGGGATTTGGTGCCGGTTGTTGTGACTATTGGGGCAGAAGCGACCCATTGCTGACCCTCCAGCAGGTTTTCAGAGGCAGTAAATTGTACAGGACGAGGTTTCCTATCTTTATTATCTTTATCTTATGTGTGGAGCAGCTGGTGGATGCAAAGCCATGCCTTTGGGTTGGCAGTGCAACTCTTTACCACTGGGCCACCAGAGGTCCCTTTAGAACAATATGACCTCAGAATCAGAGGAAGACTCAACAACAACCTGTGTTATACAGATGACACAACCTTGTTGCAAGTGGAGTGCTTGCTGCCGAAGATCAAGGACTAGTACCTTCAATATGGATTGCATCTCAACATCAAGAAAACAAAAATCCTCACCATTGGGCCAATAGCCAGTATCATGATAGATGGAGAAAGAAATGAAGTTGTTGATAACTTCATCTTATTTGGATCCACAATCAACACCCTTGGCACCAACAGTCAGGAAATTAAAAGACAAGTTGTTTTGGGAAAAATCTGGACTTCTCTGGAGTAATAAAAAAAAAACAACACACCACTATCAGTGTAAAGATTAAAGTGCCCCTGATCCAAGCCATGGTCTTTTCAGTTTGTTATGCATCTGAAAACTGGACAATGACTAAAGATGACAAAAAAACCACAAAAACCCTAATGCCTTTGAGTTGTGATCCTGGAGAAGAGTATTGAACATCCTATGGATTGCCAAGAGAACAAACAGATCTGTCCTGGAGAAAGTGAAAGCAGGGTGCTCCCTGGAGGCATGGATGGTGAAACTCTGTCTCACAGACTGTGGGCATGGTGTCAGGAGAGGCCAGTCCTTGGAGAAGGACATCATTCTTGGAAAGATGGAGGGTCAGTGCAAAAGAGGAAGACCCTGATGTGATGAATTGACACAGTGACTGTGGCAAAGGGGTTGAGTGTGTCAGTAATGGTAAGGTGGCCTCAGTATAGGTCAGGGTTCAATGCCATTGTTCATGGGGTGTCTGTGAGTTGTGGTTGACATGGTGGCATAACAACAGCTACATGGTTTGGAGCTGACTTGAAAGCATCTAACACCAACAATAGTCTTTGCTGAGAGTAGCTCAGGCCGGTCTTCTACCTTATTGTCCAGTGTGTGACTGGTGGAGGGTGGTCCTCGGTGAATTCTGGGAGAGTTGAGTACTTTCAGATGAGGCCAGAAAAAGTAAACTGGAAAACCAGATTGTGTAAGACTTTGGAATATTAAGGTTTCTGTTTTGTTCCTTGGGAAGCAAGTAGCTATCAACCGCTTGTATAATGCCACCACCATAATGTGCTAGATTAGTTTTGCTCAGAATCTCAAGAGAACAAGGTAGAGGGCAGGGAGAAGGGTTAAGAGACCACGGCATGAAATGTTGAAGGTCTGAATTATGGTGCTGGTCAGAGAAATGGAGAGAGAAGGGCCCGTGAAGTTGTAGTTAGTAGTTAAGTACTATTGTGTTGGAACCAACCCATAGCCGGCCCTCCAGTGGGTTTTCAGTGGCTGTAAATTGCACTGGAGAAGATTTCTCATCTTTCTGTCATGGGGCAGCTTGTGGATTCAAACTGTGTACCTCTGCACTGGCAATGCAGTTCCTTACCACTAAGCCCCAGAGCCAGTGGAAGCGGGGATGGTCTCAAAGGAAGAATGGCTAGAAGTTCATACCCATTTGGAGTATGGGGGGTAATGAGTGAGAGAGAATTGGGAAAATCAAGGATGTACAGAAAAAGGGAAGTCAGGAGTTGGGGAGAAAGAGCTGGCTGGAGGAGAGGGGGATTGGTTTTAGATGGACTGCATCAGAAGTGACTGTGAATTGTTCATTTAGAAACATCCCCAGACAGATGGCAGATTCCTAGCAGAGGAAACATAGGATTCAGATGCGGGAGAACTGAAGGCTTGCTTTGTCTTTGTTGGTTGCTGCCAACTTGACCCTGACTCCCAACAATAGCTTGTATAACGGATGGATCGTGGCCCCTACACCACCTTCCCCATTGTCCGCGCATTCATGTCCATTGTGGTGGGTGCCGAGTCTGGCCTCCCCGCTGAGCACTGCCTATGTTCTTGTTCACCCTCTGTTTCATCAAACACGATGTTCTTTCCTAGCTGTTGGCCCTTCCTGATGACATGTCCAAAATAAAGGGTTTGAATTCTTGTCGTGATTCCCTCTAAAGAACATTCTGGTTGTATTCCTTCTAGCCCGCTCCCCCCCTTTTTTTAAGGGCACCCTGTACATTCG